ATGCATCGTAAAAATAAGCATTTAAGTGTATAGAATGAGTGCTGACAGATTATGGTTTACCATGTAGTCAGTAGCCACACACTATGTTTCCCACATCTGAGCCACAATTGGAGGGCACTTGTTCATAAAAAATGTTCTTAACCCTGAAGTCTTTATAAAAAAACAAATATGCTCTTGAACAGAGCTGCGGGAACAGCAAATCCTGCCCATTTGTCCAACAAGTGGTTCTTGATTCAGAGGACAGATCCAGTATGGATCAATTGAGTCTTGCACTAGAATCTACCAATAGAATTGACAATATACTGTAAACAACGGCTGTGTTCACAATTGCATACTGTCTTTTAATTTCTGCAGAATTTAGTATGTATTGTGCACCATATGCATTGATGTACTGAATGCTTGAATGGCCAAAATGTGCAGTATACTACATAGAACACTGAGGAATACTGTATCCCATAATGCATTGCTCTTGACTTGATCCTCCATTTCCTACATAATGAATAAACATAATATAATTTGCATTTACTATCTTTCACTATTTGATAAGACTAATTTGGATTTACATGCCAATTATCAATATTAATCTCCAAGATCACTCATTATGCCATGTGATGACAAAAAGGGAAAGTTCACCCAAAAATAAAGAATCGAACATTTAATAACCTGTATGTCATTTCAAACCTCTATGAATGTCTTTCTTCTGTGGAAAATAAGAGTTTATTTTCTGAGAAATGTGTATTTGTTATTATATTTATTTTATTTATCTATTTTTTTGCCCATATTGTGGAAGTCAATGGGCTCTAAAGTTGTTTGGTTTCCAATGTTTTTCAAAATAGCTTCTTTTATATTCCGCAGAAGACAGAAAGTCATAGTCATACATAAATAATGACAGAGTTTTCATTTTTGGGTAAACAGTCCTTTTAAATGTATCAAACTACCATCTGAACTGTTTATTGTTGAATATTGCTAAATCAAAAATTTCCACAAAGGCTTTCTTTTACATTAATAGACTATGAATCCAAGCTAAATATAATATTTACGAGTAATGCAGTGTAACACGTCAGGCTGATTTTTTATTTTCTCCTCTGTATAAAAGCATTGTGGCAAGCCTCAATTGACCAAATGCTTCTTTCGGCCCAAAACAGCAGGACGGCTCATTGCCATAGAGATCACATAGTTGAGGACACCTAGTCACCATAGCAATCTCCTCAACAGGATGGGAGGGTTGTATTGACAGATTTTTAACATGAGATGGACACCAGATTCATCCTCTGCAAGCAAGAGAGGAACCTACAACATGCTGGTTTTGAGGCTCAAAGAATTGAACATGAAGAGCAAAGAGAATTTATATAAGCAGTGATGATATAAGAGTACAGGAACTGCAGATAAATATGATAATACTTTTTGGTACTTGGTAAATATGGTACTTTCTGAATATTCGAAAGCATGTTGCACAAAATAACTTAAAGGGATAGTTCACCATAAAAATAAAAATGTCATTGTGGATGAAAAAAAATTGATCCTTTTTTTGTGGATCAAAACAGAAGATATTTCGAAGAATGTTTTTGTCCATACTAGGTCTGCACAATATTGCAATATGGCAGTGCATACATTTATTTATCGGCAACTTGTCAAAATAGAAGCCTAATATTTTTTTAATTTAAAAATCTAAAGAAATTTTACAGTATTTTTTTATTACTTGCTTTTTTTTATTTTGCAGTTTTTATTTTACAGTATCATTACAATATATATATATATATATATATATATATATTAGATTATCACAGTAATCTCAATATTATAATTAATAATCACAATAAAATCAAGACATTTATTATTATTTTATAGCCATATTGAACTGGTCAAAAACAGTGGGGATGTGGTGTAAAAAAACTCAAGTGGAAAGAGATTTTTTTTTTTAAACTCTGGTTACTGAAAGAGGTTTGAGTCAGTTCTTGTCAAAAGTAAACTCAAGTATGAACGGGCAAATTTTCACGTTTTTCCTAAATCTTGCAGTCGTAAAAAAAAAAAATCACAATTAAAAAAAAAAAATCTTTAGAGTAAAAAATATTTTTGTAGCATTATTATTATTATTACCAGCAGCATTTTTATTTATTTATTTTTATTTTATTTTTTTTATGCATTTATTTACTTTATTTACCTTTTTTCTTTTTTTTTTGCTGATACACTCTCCAAAAAAATCACCTCACTAATTCTATAATTATTCATTCTTTAAAAAAAAATATGATTCAAGTAATCAGGTAAAAATTCCGATATTATGTCATATCGCAATATATATAGACCAATTCGGTGTTGACGAAACAGTGATGACGTTTTTGTGGGCGGGGCCTATCTGGTGCCAGACAATGACAGTTTTCAAGTAGCATATATTTAAAAATTCGGACTTCTCGCAATTCCAAGATATATATCTCACAATTCTGATAAGGAAAAACAACTCGTCATTCTCTCTTTTCCCCTCGGCTCAGAATCATGAGTTTATATCCCTGTCGTCTGGGGTTTTTTTCCTCAGAATTGACAAACTCACTATTGTTGAGTTAAATCGAGTTATAAAGTCCAAACTAGGAGATATAAACTTGCATTTTCGAGAAAAAAAAAGTCAGAATTGTGAGATAAAATAAATAAATATTATGTAAAATATTAATATTAACAGGTTTAAATAATATTTCTTGCTGTAACTGTAGGGCTAATACAATACGTCCCCTGTGAACTGCATATGTGAATATTATGTAGACCTACTGTTTGACCTACTGTTGAGTAATCATAGCAGTTTTCATCCATATAGTCTGTCTGGTTAAACGTCTGCGTTTAGCCTCAAATGGTGTCTTTGATGACAGTATTCTATAAAAATGATTTGCATTCTGATTCTGACATCCAAAGGCACAATAATACATTTTCTCTCTTATTCCATGTATTTTACCCATTTCCCTGCACTTGTTGCCAGTGTTTTTCTGCCACCACCATGAGCGCGCAGCTGCAAGTGACATAACTGTGACGTCTACTCCAAATTGGTCTACTGCAGAAAAGCAAAACATCACTGGATCCCACTGACTTTCTTTGTATAAGAAAAAAAAAAGTTGGGTGAACAAGGAAACAGTTGATCATATTAATAAGCTTGAATGTGTGCATGAGAGAAAGTGGGCATTAGTGCATGGAAAAAATGAAATAATCAGAGAGCAGGCAATACTAATACAAACTAGGGATGCACCGATACTGATACTTGTATCGGTATCGGGCCCGATACTGAGCTCCTGTACTCGTACTCGTTAAAATGCCCCGATACCAAAGTACCAAAAATAAAAGTATCGGTATCGGGCGAGTACTGGAAAAAGTGGTATCGGTGCATCCCTAATACAAACTCATCATCAGTATGGCAAAATAAGCAGAGACTGGAATTAAAATTGAGTTTTGATTTAAAGCTGCCATTGTTCAAGGAGTTTGAGGTCTAGACATGGAGCAGCTGAATTCACCCAGTATTCAGATTCAGTTTGGCAGATGGCCCAACTGTTAAAAAGCAAAACGGTGTTTATCCAAAGGAATTCTTGAGAAGTTCTGTAGGATGTTTTAAGTTGCATTTCCTTTTCAGAGCAAATGATAAAATCAAACCTGATTTAACCAACTACTAGGAAAGCCTGTGTACTTTTTAGTGTGCGAAAATCATGTTTGTCAAAAAAGGCGCTCAGTTACATAATTTTCCCTGCACACACACACACTACAGTTCGAAAGGTCTGTACGATTTTTTTTTTTAATGAAACTATTAATTTTATTCAGCAAGGATGCAATAAATTGTTTAAAAGTGTCCTTAAAGACATTAATAATGATATTTAGATAGCAAAAAAATTCAGTTTGAACTTTCTATTCTTCAAAGAATCCTGAAACAAAAGTGAATGTTTGTCAGCATTCATTATATCAGAAATGTTTCTTGAGCATCAAATCAGCATATTAGAATGATTTCTGAAGGATCATGTGACACTGAAGACTGGGATAATTATGCTGAAAAGTCAGCTTTGCGTCACAGGAATAAATTGTATTTTAAAACAAATGAACATAGAAAACAGTTATTTTAAATTGTAATATTATTAGCTGTTTTTACTATATTTTTGATCAAATAAACACATAAGAGACTACAAAAACATTTTCAAAAATCTTACTGAGCCCAATCCTTTGAACAGTACACTAAATGTACTTCACTTAGGTAAGTTCCTGAGATGTCTGAATGATCTGCAAGACTGCTCAAATCTTGCTCCTTACAGCGCTCAGATAACTGGCCTGAACAAACTAACTCCTCTATACAAGTGCACATTCAATATTTGAAAGTCAGTTTCTGTTTAGTCACATACACTTGGCTACAAAAAGCAACAGCACATTTCCACCTTTATTGCCCCAGAAGAAAGATACAGTTCATTTACCACGCTATTGATCCTATAGTGGAACATGTTGTCTCACTATATGGGGTAATGGAACCTCTGCCATTAAACAGCCTTCAGATGCTTTACAGCTAAATAAATGAAAGCAGTTACGAAACACAAAACATGAAACAGCAAAAAAAAAATGTTACATGTTACACCTGTATGTGACACTGTTCAACTTTTCTTCACTGCATAGCTGACTTGTCTGAATGTTGCCTGTGATTTAATTGTATTGATTTGTTTACAGATATTAAT